ATACAACTTGGAATTGGGAATGTCTCTGAAATGTTTCACTGCCAATGTTTTGCAATTTCGAATTCACATTTCCATTTCAATCGCTCTATCGGAGCTCTCGTTGTCATTAATTGCGTTTAACATTTAAATACAAATGTTAATGTTAGCTTTGTTTTTGTGTTTTTGTTATTTTTATGGGTACTCCATTTGTTCTTTCTATGCAAATGTTTGATGTACAACACGTCGGTCTCTTTTCCCGCAACCACAGATGAATGTTGGATTGGCTGGCAGGTGATATTGCTTGAGAGTGAGGAGACATGAATAGATGGATGTTGTGTTTAATTAAAGAGTTCTGGTATGTTTTTCATATCTGGAGAGCGACATCTGGTTGTTGCTGTTGATGCTGCTGCTGCTGCTCTTGTTCCAGGCATGTGTGCTAAGCCTCCTCTGTAAGTAAGTCTTTTGTCAATTATGAACACAAAATTAAAGGAAATAGTTTGTTCGGTGACGAAATTTTTTCTTTGTCGACCTCTTTTGAAAACTTTTCTTTCAAAGGGCTTTAGAAAATTCTTATTTATATTGTTTAGTTTCTCCTCTTGCCGAAAGTATTTATTCCTCGAATGGAAACGAGATATAGCTCATCTTAAATAGTCGTGTTCAAATAATTGAAAAGTGATATTTCATGAGAATTGCATGCCAACGACTTGGTGTCACCTTACAACCCCCATTTGTTTACACAGCGGGCGTTGGAAAATTTGTTTTTAAGTAATTTTACAACACTTGTTCTAATAAATTACTGTAAAATAAACACGTTCCATTCAAGCTTTAAAATATGGTTTACTTTCGAGCGATTAATTCAAAAAACATGTTCCATTTATTTCATTACCCGTTGTATGTGTGACAGCAGTTCAATATCATTATCATGACCAGGCATTGCAGAATTGTTGTGAAATATGTCAACATTTGTTACAAATTTCATAATTGTAAAAAAGTTTTCCGTGTTCAAATAAATATACGTTTACATTTTGTGTGTTTTCACTCGGGGAAGAAATATATAAAAAAAAAAAAAACAAAAAAACTCTTCATCGTAAGAGATGCGATCAGACAATTGCTTATTGCAATTAATCTAGTTATTTTGATAACACTTTGTTACAAAGTAGAGTAAAAGACAAAGGAAACAACAAAATATTGTTCGTACCTGTTCAAAATATTAACCACAAAGAGAACATAGATTTAATTTTTCTAATAAAATAACTTGGCTCTATACATTTTATCTCAAAAATAAGATACACCATCTGGAAACAGATGTATATATAATGCACTTCAAAATCATACGCAAAAAATCGTCATGCTATTACTTGATAGTTCGACTCACGGCTTAACTGCCTTTAGTTTTCTGAAGGAGATAAAATACCAAGGTATTTAATCTCCTTTCCCACATCAAAAATTTTTGGTTCACATTTTTAAATAGATATATGTTTAAAGTTGTTGCACGAGTATTGTGTTTCTTTTCGATCTTATTGAGTTTCGTCATCAACTACAACTCGGGGTAACACAATAGAATCGGGATAAACCTGGAGCCAGAATTTGGGAAGATAAAGGAAGGACTATATTAAGGCATTTTTGCAATGACCATCAATTAATAATTTTATGCGAAATTTAAAAATGAAATAAGATACAATAATGTCTTAGTTTTGATGTGAAAGTAAGGTTATGTGTACTAAAGATTCCAGAGCCACGTGTATATCAGAGATACTGTTCATTGAGGAATCTTCAATTTTATCATAAAGGGTGTTTTTTTATTGGGGTGTAGAACTTTAAGTTGACATTACTTTTTTAACTGGCGGACCTTTTGTTTCAGCTGTCAAGTGATTAATATTTAGCTTGGTTTGCCATTTCATCATGAACAGATTGACAAAAGAACAACGCTTTCAAATCGAGCAAATTTATTTCGAAAGTAATGGTTCAGTTCGCGAAGTTCACCGCTAGCTTCGTCCATTTTATGGACGATGAGCGCATTATTTCGAGGAATTGACAGGTGGCAATTAGAAACCAAGATCGTGTGATTTGACACCATTGGATTATTTTTTTGGGGATATATGAAGTCGCTCGTATACGCCAAACAAACCAGAAATGTTAGGGGACTTGGAAGCCAACATTCGTGGTGTTATTGCTGACATACGGCCCCATATGCTCGAAAATGTTGTTGAAAATTGGACCTGGCTTTGTTCGAGCCAGCCGCGGCGGCCACATGCCCGAAATCATATTTAAACATTAATGGCATAAAATTATCCTTCCAATAAAGCCAAATGATGGACATTAAAACGATTTTCTTGTGTTTTATTTTAATTCGAAGTTTTATACCTCAATAAAAACACCCTTTACGTCGAACTCTATTGGAGCTACTAAACTTGTCGACATTCATACGAAATACAGTTCTTGATGTGCGGCGAAGGTGTTTTAACATTTTGTAACACCTTTTTAAAATTAATCCGCATTACAAAGGATGACGTCATGCGTTTGATTTTTTTTTGTTTGTTATTTAAAGAAATTGCCCTCACATTTAACAACACTAAAATGATAACTCAGTGCAATTTTGAACATTTCAAACATGATATTGGCTACCGCTATGCGCCACACAACTAAACTTTTTAATTGCTTTCCCTGAATCGATAGTGCTTTACATCCATGTCCAAATGAACATCAGCAGCAGCAGCATTACCAGCACCAGCAGTTACCCACTGCAGGCTTTATGGAAACGATGGTCCAAACAACAAAAATCAACCTCAAAGGCCACCGATGCGGTTATCACTGCAATTACTTGTGAGCTCTCTAATTAAACATTTCTTCCGTAAGACAAAGTGGAAAATAGTTTTTTGTCTTGCTTTTGGCCAAAATGTTGATGCTCCTCCGGTGCTGTTGATAGCACAAAGACAATTGCTATTCCTCCAACAAAAGGTATGCGGACTGAACTCTGGCAAGGCACTGATTACCAGCCGTTCGGTTCAGAGTCATTTTAAAAACAAACACACAATTGCCTACACTGCTGCTCCGCTGCACTAGACTCTCTGCTCTGCTCACAGACGAGCCGGCAAATTGTGTTAAATTACAAGTGTTGCTGCAACACAGACCCACAGATTCTTCCACTGACAAAGATGCCACCGTGTTGGTACAACTCTATATATGGGTTAATTTTGTGTGACTGGGTTGTTGTTCGGGTGCGACATGTTCAAAATGGCTAATCAAAGAGCCCAAAAGGGGCCCCTTAAAATAGGATATAAAACCATGTCACTCTTTATATTGTCGGTGGGTTTCTGGTTTCCACTTTTTCTTTTTGATTGTTTGGCTTTTTCCCCAAGAGATGACTAAATGAGAGAGGCAGGGAAAAGAAACATCATGGCTTAGAGTTTGCGAGTCTAATTATGCATGTCCGCCCTTTCTCTGTTTATGTAATTTTGCAATTGAAGTACAGGTTGTATTTATGTTCGGATTGAGATAAAACTTTGTACACTTAATTTGCTTAGTCCAAATACGAACCCTACCGATATTCGTGATTTGGTCCAGATTTAAATAAAGCCCTCACTTATATGTGCTACAAATATAAAATATCAGTCCAAATAGGAAAGTTTAATGAATTCCTTTTCAGTACCCCTTCTTGGTAAAGGAGTCCTTACGAACGTTTTGATACTGTACTGAATTATTCCCAAAGTTTAAGAAAAATATTTTCATCTGTATCGGGAAAGGCAATATAGGTGTGTTGGAAAACTTGGTTATTTAAACAAATGAAAATCATCAATCCAAGTCTAAATCTATATTTAAGGTGTGTACAAAAACTGTATAGACGCATTTTATAACAGAAATTAATCGATCCTTCTTATGTCCTAGAAAGTAAAAGTTCTTACAACTAAAGTTTCCCCTCGAAACTGACGAATATTACTTTTATTATTTTTCCCTTTTCATTTTCGTTCAAAGGAGAAACCGACTCAAATTTTCATTTCGTTCTGTACCTGGTCTTCGGTATGGGGAAATAAATCCGAAACAATTGAATGAAATTGCTAGAAATATTGCTGTCATTATTGATTTCAATAGCACAACAAACTCCTGATCCATTAATTGTAACACACATATATTCGCTGTGTTGTGTACGTAGCCTTAAAGGGACGTAAATTGCCACATCATTCTCGCTGATTACTTCATGCCAAAAACACGTAATTCAACAGTCGCCATGTGGTCAACGCCACAGCAACTCCAACACTCCACAAATTTGTCGCTGGTGTTAAAGAGGCCTCGTAGTGCCTTATTTACTTAATTACAACAGTTTCATACTAATGCGGGTGCCAAAAGGAAAACAACACCAAACACCCCGACACATCCACTCCGATATGCGGCCTCTATAAGTCCTACGACATATGTTCCTCTATGTGCACTTAACCACCCAAGTGTATTCAGATGGTGTGGAAAAGGAGGGGAGTGCTCACTCCCTTGAGGGGGATTGAATTTGTACAAAAAAGGTTCGCACTAATTGCTTTCACATTTTGGCAATTTAGCAAAGGGAACAAGTTGTGTTTTCTTTTTTTTTCCATTCTCAATTAAAATCAGAGTCTGTGCACTCAGGAAAGTCTTCTGCTTAACTCAGGATGAATATTTGTATTATGAATATGCTGGTGGCCATTACAGTTACATGGTAACATGCTTTGCCCCCTGCTCCACATTCTGCATTTGCTTGTGTCTGTCTCTCTTTGTGCACATCCATACATGGCTGCCTGGCTGGCTGGCTGGCTGTCTGGCACACTACTCGGATGCCAACAGGCAACAATAAAGAGGTATTAGAAGTTTTAATCCTAATCTGAAAATTTGTATAAAACACTCATCTTCCGCATTTCTAGCTACAAAGTTACAGATCCGAAAATCTCTTTACAACAAGTTGCTCACCTGTAATTTCCGTTTCCGTTGATGCTTACTTTTGCTCACTTCACATCTCTTCTTCTTTTTCACTGCTTTGTTTTGTTCTCGTTACAGTTATGACGGACGTTATAACCGAAAGTTGGTTGTATTACGTGTTAGTGGTCCTGATGCTGATACCGGTCTATATGTTGTTTACTCTCTTGAAGTTTTTCGGTTGGAAATTGTTTGTTAACAATTAATCCCTATCACAGGCAACGGCTCACACACTCCGACACACACATACAACCAGGGCCAGACCTATCAATTACCCACCAACGACCCAGATTCGCCAGTGTATTGTGTGCGTGTGAATGTTTATGTGTGTGTATTGGTTTCTGGCTGGTTATGTGCCATTGGAAAAAGGACATTAATCCGCATACAAAGTAAGTCTAATTAATTTTCTCTTTTAATTAATGCTCCACAATAGAAACACACGAACATCCATATTATACACCCACACGCTCATTAACACCTATTGTCAGTGGCAGTGTCAATTCATGGCCGTCGGTGGGAGGGGAATTTATAATAATAATAGGTAGAGGGATAGAGAGAGAGGGTGATAGCCTGGATTAGTTGTTGGAAAAAATTAACAAAGAACAACAAAAAAAAAAGATTGAATACAGAAAATTTTAAATTTTCAATAACGTTCACGCTTTACACCATTACCGGATGCCCAGAAGGCACTTTAAACTGTGATTTTAGTAAGTCTTTAGCATTGTTCTGGCTAATAACAAAACAAGTTGAAATTAGAAAGAATTGTAAATGTTAAGGTATTAAGGTTTACTTTGAGAGTTGCAAAATTTGTAAAATGTCTTTAAAACCGGAAATATTTTTTTTTGCTAGAGGCACTGCTTAAGTTACCGAATAACAGGAGGTGTAGTTATGTGCGGAAAATATATATTTACGCAACTTTCTACGAAAATTCTGAATTTGAACTTTTGCATTCAATATACCAAATGTCGGGAGTTACAGGGGTTCTATATATTTCTTCCAGAGGGGTAGAATTCAACTATTTGCCTGAAAAATGTCGCTGATCAAAATACCAATCATCGATAACTGCCCTTATACAAGCTCTACGAAATTTTTAACTCAAATCAAATACCAAATACCGAATGTAGACAATTTTCTGCCGAAGGATGTGGTTTTCGTTACGAACTAAATGTAACAATATTTGAAATAAATCTGTTAAAAATTGTACGTAAGTCATCAAAATACCGAATATCGGGAGATACTATTATAGAAAACGTGGACCGATACTGTCCATCTTTTTGACCTGCCTGCAGACCTAAGAACATACGTACAAAATTTTATTCCCTTTACTAAATGCATCGGAAGATAGGTCGGCGGACTATATAGATCTTTCCATACAGCTCCCAAATTTTTGTTCTGACAATATTTTCATACGATGCAGGTCTGTTGATTTGTGCAGTGCCTCTTTGCAGTGCTCTCCAGTTCAGGAGAGGGCATTAAAAGTTAAATTTATTTGCCCCAATAATCGAACCAGTTTTTACAACATGTAAGGTATCTACCTAGAGCCTTTGTAAATTAAAAATAAAAACCCATCGTAAAAGAACATGTATTACTTACCATGGGATTTTCAATGCCTCATTAAAGTCGTGGGTATTCTCTTTTTATACCCTCAGCCATATGGCTACAGAGGGTATATATCATTTGATACGGTCAAAACGTGCCTAGTCGAAATAACGGTTTTGGACCCTAGGTCTCTTTGGACCAAATCCGTTTCAGAACATTTGGAGTCTATCTACCGATGTCCGTCCGTCCGTCCGTCTGTCTGTCTGGCTGGCTGGTGCGCACGATAACTCTCGAAGGGAGTATCTGATTTGACCCAAACTTGGTACATTGCAATATTTTTGTCAAACTTAGATCGAGTTCGGAGATGGGCAATATCGGTCCACTCCTTCTGGTACCTCCCACACAAAATGTCAAATTTTTCAAAGAAAATAATTTATTGCACAGACAGAGAAAGGATAATCCGATACCGACTGATACTTTTTAACTTGTTTTAATTAAGTGAAAAATATCCTATTTAACAAATCCTTGCCATTTCCTCCACATATTTTTGTGTGTCGTCTAAATTCCAGCAAATGGAAGTGAAATTAATTATTGGCGACAAAACTTTGTTTCATTAGACCTAAAAAGATGGCCGACATTTTTATTTGTGACCTTTTTGTTTAATATATGGCCGGGAGACTCTTTGATTAAAGATGGAAATTAAAAAAGTTTTTGTCTCCAATGTTCAGCTCTTCGCTGGACCGAAGAAATGCAAATAAGGACATTTCTTCCGTTTGAAGAAGACATTGTTATTAAAAATTTCAAGTTTTTGTTTTAAACGAGCCTAAGTCAACAACAAATTATTAAATTTATACAGTACAAGTTTTATTGCTCTCAATACCGCAATATAGCTTAGGTATGAAGTGTGGCACTTTGATTTGAAAGCCGCTAACAATTCGACAAAATTGTTTTGTTTAGCTCCCTGTTGCTGGCTTCATCCTTTCTATTTTCCATTCTATTCGTATGGGATAATTATAGGATTGCCATGGCTGGTATTGACCAATACCAGGTCTGGACTTAATTTGATTAAGTAGCAACAACATTCTCCCTTCAGTTCGGCAATAAAGACAACTGCATTATTCCACTAATGCATCTGTGAATTCGGTCCATTGCTAGATAATTGTAAGCCCTCCAGATTTAAATATAATTGTTTTATATTCGTTAAGTTTGTCTTCCGAATATTAATGTCTCTTGCAAAATTACAAAACTCTCTTACATCTCCTGCCTCCCTGTGCCTCTCGCTCTGCGTCTTCATAACGGCAGTCAACCCTTTGTTGCCGTCAAGTGACAACTTTAGTTGTATTCCACATTGCTGCCGGGCTCAAGAAAGGAATTGAGCAGAAATACCAAAAATTGATTCAAATAGAAATGAGAATGGCTTTGTTCGGCATTCGGCATTTGTCGAACACAACTTGTTTAACTTGCTGGCGGCCATTTGGCAATGGAAGCTCCAGCCATTAATAAATAAAGAATAGACAAGAATGCTTCAATTCAAATGCAAATGATTTCCAACGCATTTCACAACGACAAATATGCAAATATTTCCAAAACTGAAATTCATCTGTCCGCCTGACTGTCCGCCTGTCGGTGGATCTGTCGCTTTGTGTCAACAGATTTTCAGCGATTCGTCACTCGCCAGTAGGACAGCAGTTGCCACAACCCTCTCCAAATAGTATTTGAAATTATTATAATTGACGTTTCCCAGTTTCCGCGCCGACTTCACCTTCCTCCTCTTCCTCCACCTTGTCACACTTAATGAAATTGGATTAAAAGGAAACCAAAACACTTTATTTTGTATGCAAAATGGAGAAAGGATTCGATTTTCATCATGGCAAATGGAAATTTGATGTTTGGACGGTCGTGCTGTGTCACGGTGAACTAGACGGCAATGCCCAAACAAAACACCAACAATCACCCAAATAAATGCTATAAATGGAATTCAGTTTATTTTTTTGCTTTGCTTTGTTCGGCTTTGCCATTATCATTTTCCAAATACTTTTCCCAATAGCTTCATTTGGTTTATCTCCGTTTACCATCGATAACATTTTCTGCTGCCAAAGGAAGGGAAAGGAAATCAGGTCATTTTTATGCGTGTGTGAATATGTTTGCCTTAAATTAATCTACCGTCTGGCCGAGCCTTCATATCACCCTTATGCATGGGTGCAGGAAAACACCCATAATTTAAATTTGATAAGAATCATGCAAGCTTGCTTTGGCTGGCAGCCAAGGGACGTATTCTCCAATAGTAAGAACCTAGTCGTTATATATATTAAAAGATTCGGGACGAAGTAAAAGCCAAAATCGATTATGTATTTGTTGCGTAACGGACATTGAATCCTTTTTAGGTCAATCGAAGCGTAACAATAACATTTTCATGCCACTAAATAATAGAGGGTATTTCAAGTTTCCATTCCGCTTTTAATTCGTCAAAATAATATGATATGTAGGCCTATGTAGCGTTTCCAAGATTTCGATTCGTTGTTATTTCGGAAAGCGTTTCTTGTGAAACTCTTGTTCAGCAAGGTAAATTTCCGGTTCAAATCGCGACAAAGACAAAATGGAGTGCATAGTTAAGGTACAATTATGAATCCTGATTCCCAACCAAATGAGAAGTACTTTTGTTATTTAGTGTTCTCGCCTCTCAAAAATATTATGGAAATTTACAATTTTATTCCGATTTGGGCACAAATCGTGTTTTTGCAAGTATAGAAAAGTTCAGTCCGGCCTGCTCTAGTTAACGCTGCCACATAAAATGTTAAAAAACGTTGTTTATAAGAGTTAAGAATGTTCAAGTTTTTTATACCCTCAGCCATATGGCTACAGGAGGTTTATATCCAAAATTGAAATAACGGTAACCTAGGGTCAACCTTTAGACGAATTCGTTTCAGGACAAAGGGTCAACGTTTTCATACAATTTTAAATAATTATCCGATGTTTATTTTAACCTACATTAGATAATTTAGTGCAACTATGGTTCTTATCAGTCCACTCCTTCGGTGCCGGCGCCATAAAGAATCAACATAATTTTGAATAATTACAATGCAAGTCGGACAATATTTAAATAAACGGATATATGTTGAGGGTATACATTTGTTGGCAAAACACTATATAACTATGTACTTCAAAAGTTTAGGAATTTTGAATTAATGATTCTTAAATATCTTGCCAAAAAAGGCTCCACATAGGTCCTTAGCTTATCTCTAGTCTCTGCAGTTTTCAAAGTAATTATGCGCAATTAGTTATTCGGGTTCCCCATAAAACTATCTGTCGATGCAGTTTGGGACTGCAGGACTTTGGACTAAAAACTTAATGAGAAAGCTTATGATAGTACCTTCCTTATGGTGTCGAAGCTGAGGCTCGACCCGTAACCCATGTGGTAACCGGTAAATACATAAAGAATGTAATCTAAAAAAACATAGTCCCAACTATGCGCTGCATGCTTTTGCAGAAACACAAAAAAAATCCAATAAATCAAAACAAGTTTGACAACATAGGACAGAATTTATTCACCATGAGTGTTGCTCAAACATTGTTAAAAATGTGTTATAACAAATTATTTATATAATTATACAGTATTGTCGCCTATATGATGTTGGTATAGGTAGTAACGTACAACTACCTTGCATTTTTTTTTTTTTTGGCTTAGAAAATGTCTTTCCATAATGTTTTGGTATATTTTGTACGTAGTTCGAAACAGTTTTTTTTCTTATTGCCAATTTTTTTTGTTTCGAATTAAATAAACGACACAAAACTTATTTGAGTGTGAAAAGTTTATAAACAAACCATCCAGTATAGGCCTCCATATCCCAGT